CCCTGACCAGTAGAAGTCCCAACAGTTCTCAGAACCTGTAGCTTTTTAATGGTTGTCACAAAACCATGCTTTTAAAGCAATGATGGGATGACAGAGGATGATGGGAGTACATGGTTTAACACTATACACATGCATTGAAACACCACACACTGAAACTCGTATTCTCCTCCATCCCCCCCCCTCTTCCAACAGTACTGGGAAGTGGCCTTTACCAGCATTTCTTTTCATTCAAAGAGAGGCATAAGTAGAAGCCACGGGATGCGACCAAAACAAACTCTGGCCAAACACTGAACTAGTAAACTTAAAGTTATGAGTTTAAAAACTGCACAGTATTAACTAACCAGAGCTTACTTTAACTCTGTATTTCTGTTTGTATACAAGGCAAAGCCAGAGTTCTTCAAAGCCAGAAGTAAGCCCAAGCAAAGATCTCTGCAAGTTATATAGGAGAAAGGGAGAAAAGGAGAGAGACATATTTATTTTAACTGAGGGCTTTGCTTGGGCTCCTTACTGACAGTGCATATTGCTCTAAAACTACTGCTGAACTACTTGATGCAAAAAAAAAGTCCACTGTGTTGTACTTCGGAAAAGGGAAGCAACAGGAAGGCTTTCTTCTGTTCTCCAGGACTTGATGCAAGAGAGGACACAATGTAAAGATTTCTAAACAAACAAACAAACAAACAAACAAATAAATAAATAAATAAATAAATGTTTTGTACTGAAGCAAATTAGTCTTGCAGCAAAATGCTACAAGAAGTTGCAGTTTACAAAAAAATAACTGTCTGAAATATCATAATCAATAAAAGAGGTTCAGACATAAGATGAGGAAACTGAATTCCTGAAGACAAGTTGATTTTGCCTGCAAAGACAATTCTACATTCCTTACCATAAATCATAAATCATTTGACAGCATGTTGTTGTTGTTGTCGTCATCGTCATATTTTGGAATGGTGGTTTATCATGAGTTCATAGTCATAGGATGTATTAAAAGAAATTTCTGATGAAGATGGTGGTGGTGGTGATGATGATGATATTATCATCATCATCATCATCATCATCAAGAGATCACTTCAGTTCTGTTCATAGTCACACCTTGAACACTTGTTACACAAAATAAAATAAAATAAAATAAATTCTTCTTTCTAAACATGAGAAGATACCTAGGTATCAATACTTCTCCAAAAATATAAATGAACTGGACACAGATAGATGTCCTCAAGTGCTTCAATCAACATTCCACATAAGTAAAAGAGGGTGTGATCAAACGGGTATATAGTCCGTTGTTTGGTCAGCTGCAGAGATGTATTGGTTCACTCCTTTTTCCGGTGATCACATGACATAATATCTGGAGTGAACCAAATTGTCCCCAGAGCATCCCCATCTAAAACATTCTACTTTCTGATGTGGGCAGGGTAGCTCTAGTATGGTTCTTTTCCAGTGTATGTGATTGCTGGGGACGGACCAAAAGCGGCTTTCAAGGCTCCTTCCATTTTGAAATTCTCATAGTGTATTATTAAGTGGCTTAATAAGTGAGCCACCCCAGAATATCAGCAAATTGAACACTTCCTCTGCTCTTTGACAAGGAAAATAGGGGCAGGGAGGAGACCCTGGTAGATCATCTCTGATGTGTTGCCTCTTTTATATAATTTTTTAAAAAATATTTGTTATGTCTTAAGGGACGAGTTTAGAAATTGCTTCTCAACTGGTCCTTCAGACAAGGCAAAGAAAATATATACAGTATTTTAAAATTTTATAGGTGGTGCAGTACACCAGCGATGGTCTATCTGATTCTAAAAAAAATTCACTTCCCACCAAGAAGCAGAGGAAGTGTTCTATTTGCTTATATCCTGAGGTGGAATATTGTGTATTTATTTATTCAATTTATATACTGTCTCATTAGTGCAAGCACTACTCAGGGCAGTTTATACAAGTTTAAAATTCACAAACCTTTGATACACTACTATAGCAAAGATATGATCAAAAACATACAGCAGTGCAGCAGGCAATAAATTAAACCATAAATAAGAATAATCCTGTGAAAAATCCTAAAAGTGATGTATTTATTTATTTATTTTGCAATATTTGGTATTAAAAGCAGTTTTAAATAATTTTGGTTTTATCATATTTCTGAATGCAGGGAGCCTGGCATATCTCTGGGGTATTTTATTCCAGGGACAGGGGTCATAATCTAAAGGGCACGATTCCTCATACTGTATTCACCTTTTCAGCCTCCCTTGGTATAGCAACTTTTTAAAAGGAACACATTGCATCCAACTGCTTTTGATTTTTTTTTATTTTGATTTTTTAAGTTTTTGAAAACCTTACCCATGCCAGTAAAACCGCTCCAGTTGGGAATGGGTGTGGATGCAGGATTCTTGGACAGGATTATGGGAAAGATTAAGCGTGCCCAAGGAGGAGGCAGATAACAGAAGGAAGCGGAGATTCCACCCAGACTCTATTATTGGGGAGAAGCTGAGTGAGAGAGTGAAGGAGGAGATTGAGAGAGGAGAAAGAGAGAGTTGAGAGAGAAAGGAGAGAAAGATTGGAATGGAGTAAGGGAGATGAAGAGAAGGAGTTACAGGGAGGACCCTGGGAGAACCGAGCCCCCGATGGACGGATCCTGTGTGATGATGACCTGGACAACAAGACCGTGCCCTTGCTGGAAGGCCCGACGGGGCAGACAGTGAGAGACTGGGTCCCCACCGATCTACCAGAACCATGGAACAATAGTTATGGAAACCTGTTCCTGTTTGAAGATTGGAAACTCCTTCCGGACCCGTTGGCAGAAGGAGAAAAGACTCACAATCATGTTCCAGACAGTTGTTTATTGTTAAATGCACCAATAAATCTTTCACCTGTTTTGAAGCAACAAAAATATACTGATTTCTTTGAACCGAACGAGGAGCCAAAAGTCAAACCCTCACAATGGGGCATTTGCTAATCTGCTTCTCCCATAACTCGACAAAGTTTCATTTGGCTTTTTAGTCAACAAAGGTCATGTACCTTCTTATAGAAAATCCTTTAGAAGGGAATAAACATTAATTTAAAAACCAAAGTTACAATTCCCCCCCCCATTACAAAAGAAAAGAGCCCACAGTAGCCTTTTCAAAATTTTCAAGACACAAAGAGTAGAGAATACAATGCTGATTCCTACCGTTTTCCTGCTCCCCTCATCCCATAAAAATGCAGCCTACAGTTTAGCTATCCCCCTGCCAGAAGAAGCCAGCTATTTCCAGAGCACCTCAGGCCTTTCACAGTAAATTAGTGACAAAATAAATAATACATACTACAACATAAAAATGAAATAATCACAAGAGAATCCAGACTCATTTGCTTCAAAGTGACAGTGGCATTATTTTACCAAGAAAAAAATTATTATTCAAGTATTAACCAAACATAAAAATTTACAAACTTTGTTGAATACATAGAAAGTAGGAGCAGAAGATTCCCAAGGGTTCTGTCTGTCAGATGATGATGTGTGAACCAGGGGAATTTTTTCTGTTGCCTGTAGGAGGGAGAAGGTAGTCCTTGCCAATTCCTTCCTCCCACTGCAGCCTATGCACACGCCCCAAAAATCTGTCCAGGGAGTTGGAGGACTCTCTTGGAGAGGGAACTCCAGAAAGGAGGAATTGAGAAAGACAGCCTCTTCCCTTTTGCCACTGCTAAGTGTGTTCTGAGCCAAATCCCACTTGGCTAATTCCCCCTCTCTCTCAGGGTTCGTCAGCTGACTCTCCTGAGACCAAGGGAAGGTGAATGAGGAAAATGCCTTCATTCAGTGGCAAGTCCCAGGGGTCATGTACTCAAGAGCTATGAAGGAGCAAATAATAATTCTTACATCGTACAACAGAAACACTGAACAAACCACACAGGCATTAAAGACTGATAATTCAGCACTAATGATTGAATGGCTGTAAGTCAATCTTGATGACTAGATGAGTCTAGGAATAATATATATACAGCAGATGTTTGACCCATATACCAAGATAACTTCGGCTAAAATCCTGTTGTACAGCTCCACTTGTAGTATGAGGGAGATAATGTCATCATTAGTGGCATATCTGTGCTGATTAAAGGTTTTCTTTTACAATTTCAGGGTGCGTGCAACTTTGTTGCATTGTGCACAAGTAACACCACCCTGCAATTGCTTTCAATCAGTGGTGATTTGCCAGTGATGATGATGTCATCCCCATTGCACACAGAGACCTGCACAAATGGATTTCAGCCTCTGTTTCTAATTCAGCAATACTTACATGTTAACATTTACACTCATTCAATCCTTGTGATACTAAACAGAAATCAGTGACTTGTATAATAGGTGTCATGTGTTAACTCTGTGAGTGCTAACTGACAGTTAGAGTGGCAAAAGATTTGTATGTGTTCTTAAGTAGAGACCCCACTGTAGGTGTCAAGTGTTAACTTTGTGAGTGCTAAATGACAGAGTGGCAAAAGATGTGTATACAATAGGCTGAGAAACAGCCAGGAAAACATAACGTCCTGCAATAACTCCCAAATTCTATTCTGAATCTGATACAGTCAAAATCAGATTCTGTGTAGTAATGCAACATTGATTAGCCAGACTAATATAATTATTTATACCCTCTACAGCACTGATCCCCATACTGGAGAGGTGAGGCCTGCCAAAGAGGCATGAAAATGTGTGGGTGGGGGATTTTCATAAAGAAAAATAAATTGCTATCAGTGTAGACCAAATTCTGTGATAGATAACATACTAGAATTTTAAAAAGATATTATTGTTAATAAAGTACCTAAAATGTTATTTTACTTATTTTTAATTTATTTTTTAAAATGACACTTTAATGTTTATTTTAAATTTTAAACTAGAATACTGAATCTTTTGTTAAAAGGCGACTGGCTGATGGTAAAAGAGAGGTGATGAGCTGTGCCCGTTTCCCAAAAATCAAATAGAGCTCTGATGCCAAAAACTTTGGGAACCAGTGTTCTAGGATTCTCATAATAGATGCAGTAAAATGGTGTCTACTCACCAGTTTAGCAGGAGAAAGATACTTGTCCACAAAGAGTTCCTCCTCATCTTTAATGAATGGACTAGGATTCAGGAGACCTTGCCAGCCCAAATCTGTGACCCGAACTGTAGCTGACCCTGGTCTTGAGACTCTATCTAATTTCCAGTTTAGCTCCATCTCAGAGTTCCCTATGTTAACAAAACAAGAGAACAGAATATAGTTTTAGCTTCCAATATTTACAGTATGAACCCCCCCTTATCCACAGAGATTATTCACTTATCCAGTCTGAAAATATTAAAAATATTTGAGGAGAAAAACCAGAAAAACTATCTTCACATGTATTACCAGAACTGGCCACTAGAGGGAGCAAGAGACCTCACTATTAATACTTTTTGCTGAAGAATACTGTACATAATATGGTCCCTGGCACTCTCTAGTGGTCAGTTCTGGTAATGCAAATGAAAAATCTCTCTACTGTACTCCACTAACCCATAAATCAGATTATAGTGTGCTGCATCTAGAGTGGTATTGAAATTGATGTGATCAAGTGGGCACAAAATATAGGACATAATATTGACATTGATCATTGGTTGAAAATATGGAAAAATAATATAAAGCCCACACAATTGGTAAATTTAAGGAGAACATATATAAGATGTTTTATAGGTGGTATATGACTCAAAAATTATCAAAGATTTATACAGCAGTGTCAAATGTTTGTTGGAAGTGTAAAGCACAAGAGGGAACTTCTTACCACATATGGTGGACTTGTAGAGAGGTGAAGCAGTACTGAATAGTAGTCTAAAGCACAAGAGGGAAGTTTTTACCACATATGGTGGACTTGTAGAGAGGCGAAGCAGTACTGAATAGTAGTCTATACTTTGTTACAAAAAATATTGCTTTGTAATATTCCATTAAATGCAGAATTGTTTTTATTGGACATTATACCTGACAACATAGATAAAACAAAGAGCTACCTAGTTATAAATATAGCTACAGCAGCCAGAATTCTCTGTCCTAAGAACTGGAAGAAACTGGAGATACCGAAACAATGGGAGCTCTTGGAGAAGATTTGGGAAGAAGCAGAGATGGACATTTTTTTGGAAGTGTTGAAAGACTGTCCAATACAAAAGGCAACAGAACAATGGAATTTATTATATACAGTGGGCCCTCTACTTACAAACTTAATCCGTTCCGGAAGGAAGTTTGTAAGTCAAAAAGTTTGTAAATTGAATCAGCATTTCCCATAGGAATGCACTGAAAACCATTTAATCCGTTCCGGCTGTTTTTGGTTCTTAAGTCGAGCAGCAGTTTGTAACTCAAATCATTAGTTCCCATAGGAACTCATGCAAAGCTGCTTAATCCGTTCCTACCACTAGCGACAGAATTTTTTTCTTTTTTTCCTTTTAACCTATGATGACTTAGGTTTTAAAAAAAGGAAAGAAAAGAGGGAGGGAAGGAAGGAACAGACACCTTTTCAACAGAACACCTTGAAAAGCACATTTTCAGCAAAGACAATCACCTTTGGAGGGGGAAGGGACAGCAAATGAGAGAGGGAACAAGCACCTTTCAGACAACAGAACACCTTGAAAAACACTCCTCAGCACAAAGAGAGACATGGCTCTGAACTCCATTTTTAACCTGCTTCCAGCAAGATTCCAGCAGGCATGCAGCCATTTTAAAACTGTAAAATCTACCCAGGAAGACCCATGCCTCCATTGCAAAAATGCCCTCTGGGTCCACATTTTAACCAGACAGATTCAGAACACACACACAC